CTGTTTCCAGTCCAATAATTTGACCAGCAAACGCTACCAAGGTCCACCAATCAAAAACTATCTCTAGCTTCCATGTTCACCAAAACAACAATAAGAAAAATCAGCACCATCGAGCGTGATCTTGAGTTAACCCCATATGTCCCATTTATCATATTCAGCTGCATTTTTGCACACCCAAAAAGGAAGACGCCTCGGCCAAGCAGGCTGCAGATCAATGTTCTGTCACATTCTGAATATGCTCCTGGCTTTGTTTAAATTAATTAACACCCATCTTTCTTAAAACCATTGTCAACGATTTTCAATCACATTCAGGTTTAACTGCAGAGATTTCCTCCAAGCATTTGATGCAGCTTTCATCTCCATTACAATTTTCCTTTTTAACTGACTTACCAGCACCTTGGAATTTGAAGTTGGATGAAGGAAAACTCTTCATAAGCCATTACACGAACACCTGCATTGGCATTCCGCATTACCAATTAGTGTCTTTGAAACAAGACCACTCCATTCACCCTCTCCATCTGCAGAACCCATGGTCTCAGACACTTTCCCCAGAACACTAAATCCAAGCTACGCTTGCAGACGCGTTCCAGTGTTCAAACCAAAGCATGGTCGTTTTCACCCATATGCGAAGTCAACCCTTCCCAAGATCTCCAATGCGGACTCAAACCGGCCCAAACAGTAAATAAGGGTCTATTTAGACCAAAGATGGGATTATCCACAAGTTTACTTACTTCTCCGCAGCCCGGCTCAGTTACGGACTCTCACGATCAGGAATCAATAGCCTTCTCTCTTGGTCTGCCCTGATGACACAGCGATATAATCCGTCCACAGAACAATCTGTCAGCTCCTGCAAACCTCTTCATTGATCAACCAACACCAGTTATTGTTCACGGTACCTACAACATCCACCAACTAACAGCAGAAATCCATATCTTCAACAAGAAATCTGCAGATTCTCTATTAGCCACAACATCATCAAGGAATCCTCTAACTCAGTTCCTCCATAATCTTCCATCGTCTCATACAAACCGGAGACACCTGCATTGATACATTGCTTACCTCATTCTCAAATCTTCACTGAAACACCATTAGCTCTTTTCCCAGCATCCAGACCTCTCCCAAGATCCACCCGATCTTGAAGATCCAGCTCTACTCGGACTCTCTCTCTCTCTCTCTCTCTCTCTCTCTCTCTCTCTCTCTCTCTCTCTCCCACTCCCTAGGCTCTCTCAGGTTAAGACAATAGCACTCACTCATTTTTCTAAGGTAGAGCAAGAGATCTTAAATAGAAGAGCTATGGAAAAGCTCTTATTTTATACAAATCGACTTTATCGTCCAGGCCGATAGGGGTATCAGCCTGGCCGATTAGCATAAATTTTGCTCAATTAGCTCGGTCGGTTTGGGACGATTAGAGTAATTTTGGTCACATCATTTAGGCCGATAAAATATCATCCTGGCCGATTAGTTCAAATTCGAGCCAAATTATCCTGGACATTGCCTGGAATTGAAGTAGGCCGATGTCAATTATCCACGCTATCATCCTGGCTGATCCTGCAATCAGCCCAACCGATGTGATCATACAATCAACCTTAATTGCTTTCCATAATTACCAGATTAATTTAGGCATAATTTTGCTGCATCGTCCAGGCCGATAGGATATCATCCTGGATAATATCCTAAATTAAAAAATAGCTAAATAGATCATGGTGGCTGATTCTTTCTGATTTGAGCATATCGTCTTGGCCGATATAATATCATCCTAGCTGATTGGTTTAATGATGACTGCCTTAATCATGATGCCTTGATTAGGGTTTCTATTTTTGAATTGATCATCCAGACTGATATAAATATCGGCCCGACCGATGTTACCAAAAATAATAAACTCTAAGAAACAATCAAAAAAATTCCCAAGGTGTGTGTGTGTGTAAGGTTACTTAGCATTATGATGTTGGGTCTAGAGAGCAAAAACAAATCTTCCAAAAAGTGTTAGGAGATAACTACACATAAAACAATAATATTTGGAATCATCAAAATAATACAAGTTGCAAGAATGTAAAACATGCAAATAGCAACTTTCCTAACATATGAACCATAAGAATTACATTTGACTCAAGAAAGGAAAAAAGTATATAATAGATTGACTCAGACCTAATCTACTCAATCTTGAGCTGGTTCAGCTTACGGTCTCAATCTTATGGTCCTGAAAAGTTAGTAGGAAAGGCAGTCGAAGTAAAGCAAAAGTGTTTGCAATCATCAAAATTATATTTCTGAAAATAGATATGCAACAATATCCCCCTTTTTGATGATGGAAAACACACAAGAAAAAAATTTGAGTTCAGTCAGTTTAATGAAGATAATATGAAGAAAAAGAACACAAATGAACTATTAAAATCAAACCACAACGTAACTAACAAAATCAAAGTACAAAGAAACTAGTAGTATAATAGATCACTCCCCCTTTGACATCACAAAAAGGAGGGAAAAAAAATAAAGCAAAAAATAGAAACGACCAACAAAAAAATAAGAACAAACTACAACAAAAGAAAGACTATTAAAATGATGGGCCCTGATCATCTGAAGGTGGAGGAGGTGGTGGTGGAGGATGCTGAAAATAATTAGCCAGTGTAGTAAACTGAGCACCAAACCAGGCTATGTCATGGTCGTGCTGCTACTGCTGGTGAGCAATGTAAGCGTCAAAATAGGCTAA